AGAAGTGAATAATGTCAAATGAGAAGTAGGACATAACATATCACTGAAATTCTAATAACACTTGAGAGAATTTGAAACTTCTTACTAAACACTTCAGAAATACTTCAAATAAAATAGGAAGCGAAACAGCAAAGCAAGGCTGTCAAATTTAAACAGCTGCATAAGTGGCACTGGGGGCTATGCAACCAAGAAATTAGCTGAACCGAATTTTCTTCTGCATCTAGCAGAATATAGCCTTGGAGTGGCAGAGACTAGGAATAATCACCCCTCCCCTCGCACACGTGCACGCGCATGCTGCACACACACACTCACACACACACATACATGCACATGGTTGAGGAACGGAAGTAAAGCAACTATACAAAGAGAGGGAACCGAATACATGTCACGTCTTACCCTCTTCTGCTTCATCCTCCTGGGGTGACATTGGACCCCCGCCACTGACAGGAGTGACTGGTTCCTCTTTCTCAGACTCTCGCTGTAGACTCACCACCTCATATATGGCATCTCCAGCATTGGGATGGCCTTTTCCCTCAGACTGAGAAAGACAGAAACATGTGTTGCAATATTAGAACTCTTAAGGAAACACTGAAAGACGTGGTATTTCAATGGTTCGTTAGAAAGAGCTGAAATGAACCGCAGCTCGTCACATCTGATCTCCAGCACGTCTGAAGCTAAGAAAATTTTTGAAGTACGTTGTTATTCTAAACGTCTGGTTCTTCTGGTATGATTTTAATCAATACAATGGAAGCTACCAACCATTTTGGAAGAACTCAATTTTTTTTTTATCAGAAAAGCCTGAGGCATCACAGGTCCGAGGGCACAGAGAAGCAGGTGATGCTACATACTTAGGACGGACGGCCTTGCACTGAAGAGGCATCAGCTCAACTAAGTCGTGGAAGTAGATCGTTTTACCTTATAAACCGCTGACATTCGAACTGGACTTTTCTAAGGGGGAAAAACTAAGGCAACTTCCAATTACTCAACCGAGCATGGCCGAAAAAGCCCTAAACTGTGTCCAGCCTCGTCTCACACTCAGGGTTTGTCACTACATTCCGGCCACTCTGGCCTGTTCCAGCTCTGGGAATCTTTAAATTCTTTCCCAGCCCAAGGTCTTGGGACAGGCCAACACATCCCTGCCAACACATCTTCTCCTCCTGCTCTTTGCTAACTCCCATCAGTCTTGGATCCCTACCTCTAATGTCACTTCTACAAAGAATCTAAACTAAGTGCCCACGTTTCTGATTCTCATCGTACCCTGTCCTTCCCCTTCACTGCACTTACCACAATGTAATTACACATTTTTTTATCCTATTTACTTGTTTAATGGCTGTCTCGTCCACAAGATAGTATGCGTTGTAAGGACAGGGACTATGTTTCAATCAGAAAGAATGTAGTACCTGACACAGAGTAAGAACCCAACGAATATCAGTGAACAGATGACTCCCTTCACCACAAAACAAAAATGATGAATATCACCCACTAACGCTGCCTAATTTAGGGATGGTACAGAAACCCCATTTATATTTAATATTAAAATAATTATATAACTTTATTGTTATATAATTTAATATTAAAATAATTATCTCACTTTACCGTTGGCGAACAACATATTCGTACAATATTACAGGTAGAAATAACTATGACAACTAGTCAAGTATTGAAAATTGTTTCATTGTAATTTATAAAGGTACGATATTTCTGTGCCCTGTGTTTTTGGTTTTAAATTATTAAATGTAAAAGGAAGAAAAGTTGTCTCAGATATACAATCGATATTTCTAGAAAGCATAACAGGTCAGCAGAAAGGTGGGGTCCTATTTACACGCATTCACGTGCCCCTTTGAGCCTGCACGGGCGGCTCCTCACATCCCACAGGCCATGTGTTCACTCCTTGTCCGCTGAGCTGGGGTGAGGCAACTCCAACTTGTTGAAGGAGTCTCAAGAGACCCTGTATGCCTCACGTGTTCATTTTAGCCCTTGTTTTAAAGATATACTACTCATTGCAGGAGAAAAAAAGTGAAAAAAAAAGAAAAAAAAGAAAAAAACATTTCTATTAAGTATATTGATACCTTACAGATACACATTACGGGTTTCTAGAGAAAAAAAATACGTAACTATCACACTGGCTTTTTATTTTTAACGTACATTACCTAGATATGAATTTTTCAAATACTCTAAATATAATTTGATTAGAGAAATTGTTTTGCTTCTTATTGCTACTTTAAAAACTATCTTGGAATTTAAAAAGAATGATAGAAAAAAATATATATGCTATGATATGAAAAGACCTAAAAGGTCCTACCTGCTTCAACCTCATGAAGAAAGTCTCCGTGAAGGTCTTTCTGCTGAAATACCAAAACCGCTCATTTGCGGGGTACACGCGGACCACCGTCTCCAGGAGAAAGCGCACGGGTTCCACCACCTCCGTGACCACCATGTCCACTGCCACCGTCATGTACACGCGTTTATCTGTAGCAGAAATGGTCTGTGGTTTATGCTGGCTTTATTATTCCTTGATTATTTAAGAAACAAAGCTTCCTCACTTATGAAGGAACTAAGGTGCTTTCTAGTCTTGTTACTTTCTACATTTAAATTTAAATGTTTTATTGTCACTTTGATTAAATAGGTAACCAAGTATTCCAAGCAAGTGATGCTGTTTCTCAGCACACGGGACCCTATCTTCATCAGTGTCCCAACCTCCTCTGACAACTTTAATTTCCTTCACCAAATCAGGTCCTCAATGTAAAAAGTAAATAAAATTTTCAGGATGTCTTTTACACTAAAACTATCTTTCAGATTTCCCAGAAAACCACTGGAGAATTACAAAGATTTGCTCTTCCATCTCATAAAAAGAGACACTACAAATTATGTTTGATGACTTTCTTGGAAAAAACTGTCAAATCAAAAAAGACGTTCTACGTTCGCTATGTTCAATTTGTATAGAAAATGTTATTAAATAAATATTTCAGTGCTATGTGCTTTAAAGGAATTCCCTGGAGATTTGTCAGTACCCTCATTGTCCATAATATATATATTTACCCTTAGGAAAATCACTGATGAAAGCTCTAATGAAATAGTTCTGTGAGCTTCTGTATAGATAGATACGTAGGTATATAAGCATGCGTGTGTGCATTCATACATATGTATGTATATCGGAGTCCTCGCAAGTGCTTTTTTTGGCAGGGTGGGGTTCCATCATATTTGACATTCAGTATTACTTTATATTAGTTTCATGTGTACAGCATAGTGGTTAGACATTTATATAACTTACAAAGGAATCCCCCTAATATATCTAGTACCCACCTGGCACCATACATAGTTATTACAACATTATTGACTATATTCCCTATGCTGTACTTTACATCCCCTTCACTGTTTGTAACTACCGATCTGTACTTCTTAATCCCTTCCCCTTTTCACCCAGCCCCCAACCCCTCTCCCATCTGGCAACCATCAGTTTGTTCTCTGTATCTATGTGTCTGTTTCTGTTTTGTTTGTTCGTTTATTTTGTTCTTTAGATTCCACATATAAGTGAAATCAGATTTTTTTCTCTCTGTCTGACTTATTTCACTTAGCATAATATCCTCTAAGTGGGCAAGTGCTTTTAGACAACTAGAGTATAGTGTTATCAGTCAAAATTTCAGTTATCAGTTAAAATGTTTACTTGCCCACAGCCTTCCTTTAATTTGAATCTAGAATATTCCGGGCCAGTGTCTACTAACTTTCTTCAGTTTTACAATGATAGGTTGAAATGTGGATTTCTTTTTTTATAATTTACCCTGCTTCAGAATCATTAGGGGTTTTTAAATCTGTGGCTTGGTTATTCCATAAAATCTTGTCATTTCTTCTTTATTTAAAAATGTTTTTTTTCATTTATTGTATCCACCACTTTTGGTTCTCAGTTAGAGGAAAGATCACATAACCAAACCCACCATTAGAAGAAAACTTCAATAGTGTTTTTTTTTTAAAAAAAGATTATACAACGTTTACATTCATCAACTACACTTCTATTAATGTCATCAAATTCAACCAAAATTATATTACATTCAGTTCGAGAAAAAGTAGGATTCTCGAGACCTTGTACTTGGCCTGGAAGGCCTTAGGTCTCAGGGGAGAAACGTAGAGGGGGAAGGGAGACTAACACGACGCGGAGACTTTGATGTATGTCTTGGTGCAACGAAAAGCTCCAAGACATTTTCTCTCTCAGGCCCTCAACTTCTGTAAAAATCAAGCTGTAGTTCAGGAATCTTCTGAATAATTTATAAAATCAAGGACACCATTTGGAAATTTGAGAAATCAGGTCAACAGTTTCATGTGGCATATGAAATGATTCTGAATTTAAAATACATTATCTCTTGGATCAGAAGATTATTGCATACAGTATTATACAAAGTTTTTATTAATAGGACAAATAGATTTTAAAATATATTATCTTTTATTTGAGGATCAAGTGTATGTTAAAATACAAAATGGAACTGAACTACGTGTTACCTTAAAAACAGATAAAAACTACTTTGATTACTTATTTTTTGAAATTCCAATATTTTATTCTTCAAAATTATCGACTGGCTTATTTTTCTCATTTTTGTGTTTTCTTTCTGAATGAAGAAAGAAGTTTACAGGCTGGTATTTACAAGCCTATCTAGAGAAATAAAAAAATGATGGATGTGAAAATTATTTATTCCTAATATATGAAAAGCTAAATTTTATATAATCATTATTTTTCTTCCTTTTTACCCCTCATTTTGAAATAGACAGCTTGATGTGCAATCAAATGCATGTAATTTATGGGACTGGTAAAGACTCTCTTGAAGGAAATTTGAGAATAATTATCATTTTAATGTTCTTCATTAATATATTATATTTCCATATTGGTATTAACCAAAAGTCTACTGTGGGTATAAACTAAATAATGTAAGACTAAAATCAAAAAAAAACTGGTCCATTATTTTTCAATTAAATTATTGGGTGAATGACAGGATTTAGTGTAAGATTATAACTCATGAGGTAAAACTTTAACGTTAGTTCGAAGGCAGATGGTAGAGGGGCAAAATATACAGGCAATTAACAGATATCTAGATAAAGAATAAAAATAAAGTGGTAAAATGACAAATGTGACTATTATACCATTTATAAATCCTGTTCAAAATTAGCCATGTGAAACAGAACGAAAAAGGAAACAGCTGGAAAAGGTGTCACAAATGATACCTTAATACACATTCCTAAGACCTAAGAGCCCAAAGGTCAAAAGACTGGAACGAACAACTAATACGTGAAAAAAAAAAGTAATCTATAATAGAATTTGTAAAAGTTAAAATACTTATCAAAGATATTCAAAATTTCAGAATTTGCTTTCATCATTTCTTTCATATACTTCCATCATTTCCCCCCAAATAAAACAAGTCTATAATGACATATGAAAAACAAAGTACAAATACTGTCTACATAATCTAATAAAATTAATTCATGTATCTTTGCATGGTGGGGTTCCTTTGAATAGTGGGGGTTTTCTTCCATAGATGTATTATGTATGAAAATGAACTTGAAAATCTAAATAAAAATAACTCCATTAAGTTATTTTTAAAAAAATAACTTATTAAAAAAAAAAATCATGACAAAACAACATTGTCCGTAATGTAAAATTTTAAGCAAATAATAAAGGATCTTTTAAGAAAATTCACCTTTCGGGGTTTCTTCATTAAGTGCCATAAATATTGGCGCATTGGGGTTCCATATGCCGGTGATAACATAAGCTCTCCCGTCACAGCTCTTCCCCATGGACTCCTGTAAAGGTTCAGACAGGAACCTCTGAGAACGCACACAGCAAGAAAACCTCCATCTCAAATACAAAGGTCTTAATGTAAGCAACACAATTTAGTCAACTTCGGATTTACAATTTAAAAGGGCATTACTTTTCTTGGTTCATTTTTTTTTTTTACCTTATTAAAGCATTTATTTAAATATTAAATTCTCCTACAGCTTTTCTTCGAGCAGTTTGCTTAGAGACACATACCCCTAGGATAAAAGAGGAATACTCTTATATGCTAAATCACGAAAATATGATGTTGCTATGAAGTTATAACTTAATTTGATTTTAGGCTGTGTCAAAATCTTATACATACAACGATATATGCAATTTCTATGAAAACTATACTATAGATCTCACTGAAGACAGTTTAACTGAATTAATAGCTAATCACAGGAAAAGAAGATAGTATTTTTCTTCTAATGTTCTAATTTTTAATATATTCTTAAAATATTACTTTGTCACAATTAATTCCTTTAAAGTTAATTCTTTTCATATATATATATATATGCGTATATATATACACATATATATATGTCTCAGATACTTGAACACTTTCTTACAATCATAAATCAATATTGGGAGACAAGTATTGGTTTTAAATTAACAGCAAAACATTAACTATCTCCCTCTACCCTTATACTTACTCCCTCCTTATTCCCTTCTCTCCTTTGCCCCTTCCTCTTCATTTCCTCCACTCTTAAAGACTTTTACGAAGCCAGCTCCTGACTCTAACTAATGAAGCCAGCGACTGCTATAGAGAAAGCAAGGCCACACACGTGTGTGTGTGTGTGTGTATGCGCGCGTGCGTGCATGCGCCGGGAGTAGAGGGAGGTTAGAGGTTGTCTCATGGGAGAACAGTGCACCGAATACCAACATGTGCACACGCAAAAAGGAATAGTATCCACAGTACTTTCTGTACCAGTTTCCTCATGCTATGAATACAGAGCACTCAAAGGGTACAACTAAAGGAAAACACCTTTTGCTCAGTATGACCCCCACACACAGATGCTTCCCTGAATCCCTATAAAACTCAGTCATTTGGTGACTGCTATGTATATTTTTCTAGTGCACTGGTGATATTTCACTAATCAGACTGCAGAGCTTGTGTGCAAGGACCACATTCGATGAAATATAGTCAAGGTCATGTTAAAGGAAACCCATTTGGTACCTCCGACACTCATATATTCATATTCTCTCTCTCTCTCTCTCTCTCTCTCTCTCTCTCTCTCTCTCTCCCCCCCTCTCCTCCTCTCTCCCTCCTCTCTCTCTCTC